CCTGATGTTATACCACATCCTCACTGACAGTCAAACTGAAAAGTCAATGGTATTAACAAAGATATTTAGTCTATTATAAGTATTAATAGAAAGGATAGTCTGACTTAATTCTAATAATTAGTGCCCCTCATCTTACAAAACATCCTGAAATGAAACAACTTTGGGTCAATAAAATTGCAGGAATTTGTGAGGTGATTAGTCATTCACCTCACAATTTATTTTAGTTAATAAATTAAGAAAAGATATATTGATACAGTTGCTAACTCGTCACATTCTGAACCCTAAGACAGATCCAAGCAAAACACAATTCACCTCTGATCCCTACTGGAGCTCCACAGGAAGGGAAATTCTTCCTGAAGCACATTTTAAAGCATACTAATTTACCAATGCCTGGAAGGTCAGCAATTAATTCTACATCACATTTTCCCTTTTTAAGCCTCTGATAAGAACAGGGAAATCATTTCTCAGTATCTAACAACTGTGGGGGCTTGAAATACTATATAGAATCATGAGGTAGATAAAAGAAGTAGAAAATATCTTCAGAGATCACATATTTTAGGACACTTCTAAAAGTCTCTAAGGATACAGTTCTACAAGTTCACAATGTACGACAGACATTGGCAGAAAAAGTCTTCATCAGTCTTTTACAGCAGTGTAAGCTCTTTTCTTCTGTCTTCAAGGAGACATGAAGAAGACATGAATATCAACCTTTATATTATCATACTTTAGGTTTTTTACTGGAAATCACACTACTCAATTCACTTTCATGAACTCTTCCTTGATTTGGTGACATTACAAAATAACATTTTTAAAGAAAATGTAATTTGTTAACTGGTCTCTGTATGAAAAAGACTTCCTATTCAGAAAAAGTAATGAATCAAAAAAGGAAAAGGTTAATGAGTAAACCATATAAAATTGTTTTAATTTCTGTAAATCAGAAACCATCATAAATAAAATGAAAAGGCAATTGTAAAAAAATTTTTTTGAAAAAAGGCAACTATAGGAGAAACACCCCAACATGACAAGCAAGGGTTAATATCCTTACTCTATAAAGAGTTTACACAAATCAGTGTCTGGTCTAGACAGTGCCACCCCCAGCCCCACCCCCACATTCCCCTCCTCATCCATACAAGAAATTACTAGGTCCCTTTTTAAAAAAGGTTATAGTTTCTCAGAGCTTTCAGGATCACTCTGCCTCTTTCTTCTGCCTTAGTTCCTTGCCTCCTATCTGAATGCTCTCCTTCTCCTAAGGCCTGTTAGCCAGGAGACTCAGATAAACAACCTGATCTTGATTTCAGACTTTCCCCAAGATCCAACCTCTACAACACAGCTTTCTACATTGCTCTGCTAGCTGCAGGCAAGTAACAACTCGCCCCAGGCTCCAGGGATAACAACTAATTCAACTAATTCCAGCCAAAGTCCAGCATACTGGCTCCTGCCTGGGCCAGAAAGGTGGAAATCAAACTAAACAATTAACAAAAAGCTGAGACTCCATGTAAAACCATCAAAGAACTTGTGCAGGAAATTCACAGAACAGAAATAGCTAATGGCTAGTAACAAGATTTTTTAAGGCTTAGATACATTAATAATGGAAGATGTGAGTTAAAATAAGATAATATTTTTATCTGTGAAATTTGCAGATTTTTAAAAATAATAATGCTAACACAGATGTCATAAAAGTGATAGCAAGATGGTAAATTGGTATAATCTTTCCTAAGGTAGCAGTATGTTTGAAGAGTATTCATGTCCTTTGACTCTGTAATTTCATTTTCAGGAACTGATCTTCAGTAATCAAAAATCTACTCAAAAGATTTAATTATAAAGAAATTCATCTCTACATTTCTGTATTTGAAATATAACTATCAAACAATCAGTAAATTACAAATAAATTATGGTTCATCCATAGTGTCATTATGGGGCAAATAAAAATGATATAGTAAGAGCTGATTCCTCTATAGCCCTGATTAAGATACATTCACTGTCCAACTTGTATTAACTCATTTACTTCTCCAACATAAACGGAACTTGTAAGGTAAGTAGCTGCTAGTATCATCTCCTTTTCACAGTTGAGGAATCTGAGGCACAAAGAAGTTAAGTAGTTGGTTTAAAGTTACACTGGAACAGATTCACATGCCCTTATCTGAAATCCTAAAATCCAAAAGCTCTGAATACCACATGTTCTCATAAATTTGTGGCAAATCCACTTCTTTGCAAAACCTGACCTGAACCCATGTAAAAGTATGTATAGTCTTTACTTATCTCACTTAGAGTGAAGTTTTCTTTCTAAAGAAAAATTAATGTGTTTGATTACAGAGTGCTGCCCAAGACCCCACTAGAAGGGATGCAGTTTATAAACCATGTTGTCCTTCTATAATCTAAAAAATTCTTAATCTTAAAACACAACTAACCCCATGGGTTTCAGATAAGGAATTGTGACAGAACTGAAATTCAAATCTCTCCATCTGCCTGGCTCTGGAGTTTGTGCTCTTAACCATGATGGTTATTTTGAGATCGTTTAATGGAATGGGAAAATCCTTATAATTAAAACATACAGGTATTTATTAACTACATACTATGTATCAGACACACAGAGAAAATTGAAATTGTGATGATGTTACTAAGGAGATATAATTGGTATCAGAAAAGCTTATACCCTGAGGGGGGTAAGGAGATATAATTAGTATCAGAAAAGCTTATACCCTGAGGGGGGTTGTCCTAGACAGACTGGTCAGTGGCAGCTTTTCTGGGAATCACCCAATCTGAGAAGTGAAAGATAAACAAGAGTTAACAAGATGAGGGAAGAGAATACCTGGAAGGAGAAGAGCATGTGCAAAGGCCCTGGAGTAGGAGGGAAAATGGAGACAAAGGACCCTGTGTAACTGGAACACAGAGAACAAGGGGAGCCTGGTATCAGATAAGGAGCTTCCCTGGAGGCTCAGATGGTGAAGAATCCGCCTGCAGTGCAGGAGACTTGAGTTCGATCCCTGGGTTGGTACGATCCCCTGGAGAAGAGAATGGCTACCCGCTCCAATATTCTGGCCTGGAGAATTCCATGGACAGAGGAGCCTGGCAGGCTACAGTCCAGTTCAGTTCAGTTCAGTTCACTCACTCAATCATGTCCGACTCTTTGTGACTCCATGGACCGCAGCATGCCAGGCCTCCCTCTCCATCACCAACTCCCGGAGCTTAGTCAAACTCATGTCCATTGAGTTGGTCATGCCATCCAACCATCTCATCCTCTGTTGTCCCCTTCTCTTCCCACCTTCAATCTTTCCCAGCATCAGGGTCTTTTCAAATGAGTCATTTCTTCACATCAGGTGGCCAAAGTATTAGAATTTCAGCTTCAGCATCAGCCCTCCCGATGAATATTCAGAACTGATTTCCTTTAGGACAGACTGGTTGGATCTCCTTGCTATCTAAGGGACTCTCAAGAGTCTTCTCCAACACCACAGTTCAAAGGCATCAATTCTTCGGCACTCAGCTTTTTTTATAGTAAAACTCTCACATCCATACATGACTACTGGAAAAACCATAGCTTTGACTATACAGACCTTTGTTGGTAAAAAGTCTCTGCTTTTTAATATGCTGTCTAGGTTGGTCATAACTTTTCTTCCAAGGGTCAGGCATCTTTTAATTTTATGGCTGCAATGACCATCTGCAGTAATTTTGGAGCCCAAAAAAATAAAGTCTGTCACATAGGGCCGCAAATAGTCAGACATGACTGAGTGATTTTCACACTATAGAGGAGGTATAAGTGGACCTTATAAGTGGAATAACATTTGCCCCAGTTTTCCTGAGGGACATTCCCAGTGTAATTAATATTCTCTTTTACTCTCAAAGATATCTTGGCCTGTGTAATAAAATATATGGTCACCCAATTTATAGACCACATTAAAGAGCGGTACCTTTATCCTAAAAGTAGTAAGAAATCCTGACAGACTTTAAGCAAGGGAGAGGAGAAGGGTATCATAATGAAATTTCAGTTTTCAAAAGATTACCCCTACTGCAGGGTAAGAATAGATGAGAATATTGAAAGGATAGGTGAATACCTTCAGACTAGTTTGGAGGCCACTACAGAAGACCAGGCAAAAGACCATGACAGCCTGATCTAGGGTGACGAATGACAGAGACTAAAAGAAGTGGATGGAATTGAGTCTGGTTTGAACATAAAATGAACAGAACTTGATGACCTGGACATGCAAAGAGAGTCCATGACTTCTGGCTTGCAAGCTAGAAGTTGGTATGATTCACAGAGATAGAAATATTAGAGATTTACATGAGCTAGATATTTAAATGTGTGAGGCATCTGCATGGCAGTTAGTTGCAATGTGAAGTTGGGGAGCCCGAAAGAGTGCCTAAAACAAAAAATAAGTTCGAAACGATGTTTCTTTCCATTGGCAGAGCCCTCTTCTGACGCATGACCATATTTTCTGGTTGGATACTGGAGCAGTTCAGTGGTCAGACAAAAGAGAAAGTTCCCCCTTGGCTAATAGTTTGGGACCTGGAGAATCAAACCGCGCGCAGCATGTAAAGATCCCTTAAAACTAAGCCCCAAGTGCTTGACATTTACGGTTCACAAAGCAGTTTCACACAGAGGCTCCTTCAAACCCACCACACTTGTAGAAATTATACTCTACATTTACAGATGAGGAAACTGAGGTAGAGCGCTTAAATTACCTGTCCACACAGAGGCTGCTCTTAACGGCGTACTATCTCCTTGGACGTGGAACCACTGTGTGCAAGGAAGTACCCTAAGTGCTGTGAGAAACAGCTATTTCATATTACGAGGTCCTCCTAGGTGCCAGGCTCTAGGAGATTAAAAAAAGAGAGAAGGCAGATAGCGGAAGGGAAAACACAAATTCAGAAGTTTTAAGGATGTGCTATACTCACCCTAGAGTATGTTCGCTTTAAATTTCAAAAAGGTTCACGTCCGAAGGTGGGGGTCAAGGTGAGAAGGTGAAGATGAACCAGGGACCACCCCAAACGCCGACCCAGGGGAAATGGGGTCCCAACGGCTGGGCCCCAGGACACACTACGAGGGGACGGCGGGGGCAGCCTGCCGACTCGGCAGCGGAGGCCCAGCGGCCGGTTTGCCGGCGCGTTGCCATAGCAACGGCCGGGCCAGCTTCGGCCCCGGGGCCCGCCCGCCCTTCCCGCGGGGGCCCGTCCTGCCCCGCGACGCCAGGGGCCACTCACCCGGGCCCGCGGGCGGGCTGGCTTCCGACTGGCGCGCACACTCCGCCCCGGCGGTAGCCGAGCCCGGAATTCCGCACCTGGAGAAACTTTTCGGCCGGCGGGGCAACCGCAAGGAGGTGGACGGGGGCCGCCTGGGGACAAAGTGCGTCGGCCGGCGCGAAGCCCTTCTCCCCGCAGCTGGGCTGTCAAGGAGGGAGACCCCCGGGTGCGCTCAGGGGCGTCCCCGCGAGCAGCTCCTCCTAGAGATGGACCTGAGAACCCTGTCTCAGGGACAGAGAAGCAGACACGTTTTACAGGAAATTAAACCTTTATAGCAATGATATCACAGAACTGAGAGGACATCCAGGCCACAGTTCTCGCTCAGGGCCCGAGGCTTTCTGGGGCAGCCAGTTGGAGCTGGTGCTGTAAGCCTCGCACCGCAGTGGGGTCAGAGCTGGTCTAAAAGTCAGGAAAATGAATATCGGTGCTGGGGGAAGGCCCCCGAAGTGCATGGTGTTTGTCCCCACAGAGGGGCTGAGAAGACTCTTGACAGATCAAAAGGCAATTCCCTTTAGTTAACTGCAAAGCTCTGTGGACCATCTGAATGCATGGCCCCTGCAATAAAGGCTAGAAACACGGACTCCAGCTGTATGCTTATGTATTTCTGACCTGATCTAGGAATGGTTTCTGTGAACACGGGTCCTGCTCTTTAGCAGCTGGTGGGAAAGAAATTCAACTGTCCTGACATTAGCCTAATTATTCAGGCAGATGTCCTCTACAGTTTATTTGATTATAGCCAAGAACTTGGTACAGAGGTCGATTCATTTTACTTCTTAGAGGTAGAAGACCACCTTTGGCAATGGGTTCCTCCTGTCAGTTTTACCTGACAACTCATAATGGCTGCTAGTCAGCAACTGGTAACTTCAGTATTACAAATTTTTCAATAATTCCCCACCATGTCCTATACCCTAGAACTTTGGGGTACTGGCCATACTTTGTTCTGAAGAAGTACAGAACTGTTGTCTAACAAGGGTCTGAAATAGCCTGCAAGGATTTTCTCTCTGCCTCTCTCCCCCAACCCTGCCTTTATCCAAGCGTGAGTGTTGGTGCCACAATGTCCAACAAACGAAGATAAACTCTACCATCTGCTTCACTGAGCTGTGAAGTGTATGAATCTGCCTTTAATCAGCAGCTGTGTAGTCTTACACTCCACAGCCTTACCAAGAAATAACTTTAAACTGTCCGCTTTCTCATGCCTGTGGTGGTGAGAAACAGCAGTTAAAGAATTGAAAGGTATGCAGATAACCTCCTCCTCTATCAATGCAGTCTCTAGGTCAAGTAAGTCCCAAACCTGCTATAAATGAGAGACATCTGGGGAGTTCTATTTGTTTTGATTTGTATTTAAATACATATTCATAGGACACACTTCCAGGAATTCTAATTAAGTAAATCTCATGAAATCATATTTAAAAGATCTTCATGTGAGCTTGATGCAAAACTACAAAGCTAGGTTGGGAAACCACTAGGCTATGTTTTATTCTGAATTAAGCCAGACCATCAAAAAAGCTGTTTGTACCACTTTTTCTTCACCCTTACAAAATAGTCTCTACTAAGTCATGCTTTACCCTTATGCCATCTGCTTATGTTAACAGATAAGGTTTAAAAAAATATGCACGATACCTCTGGATTTACTGGAGGGATTATAATATTTTAAGAACGATGTTTATTACATCCCAGTAGCAGAATCCTGGGCTTCCCTGGTGGCTCAGCTGGTAATCAATCCACCTGCAATGCAGGAGATCCCGGTTTGATTCCTGGGTCGGGAAGTTCCCCTGGAGAAGGGATAAGCTACCCACTCCACTATTCTTGGGTTTTCCCTGTTGCTCAGATGGTAAAGAATCTGCCTACAATGCAGGAGATCTGGGTTCAACCCCTGGGTTGGGAAGATCCCCTGAGGGAGGCCATAGCGACCCACTCCAGTATTCTTGCCTGGAGAATCCCCGCGGACAGAGGAGCCTGGCGGGCTACAGTCCACTGGGTTGCAAAGAGTCGGACATGACTGAGTGACTAAGCATGGCACAGCAGATCCTACCATATTGTCCAGCCTAGGGTTTTTCTAATTTTTTTGACCATAATCCACCAAAAGAAGTATGTTTTACATTATCACCCAGTATACATGTACCTACACATTTAATAACTGAAACAAGTTTTATGAAATGTTACCCATATCACATGCATTATATTGCTTTTCAATGTTGGTTTCTACTCATTAAACAATTTCTTGACCGCTAGATGAGTTGTAAGTTGCATTTTAAAAACAACGGTATAGCCAGATATCTTTTTATGGAAGCTAGCCCTGATCCTCAGACAAACTAGGCCACCTGTCCACTGTCCAATAGCAGTACCACAGCCAACCCAATCATATCCCTCTCCCAGGAATTTCAAATTAGTACTGAGAGATTTTAGTTTTTCTCTAGGTAGCTAACATAAAAACATAGAATGCTGTAGTATAAAAAGTCAGAAGCTATTTATGGACATGCTTCCCTACTATGTGGCCTGGAGAAATGCAGAAAACCAGGTTGTAGGAAAAATATGAAAAGAATAGGAAGGATGAAAGAGATTCACAAAAAGGAGAGAAGAGACCAAAGGAATTCTGACAATTCTCCATCCCTGATCATTTTATTTCCTGAAGTAAGCTGCATTGCTGCCTTTGAATTCCAAGTAATATTCCAAATCTTTATAATAAGGTGCACTCTTTTGATTAAGCTAGTTCAGGTGGCTGGGTTTCTGTTATTGCAACCAAGGTGAATCTAATTATATTGATTTTATATGGTTTTTGTAACAAATTACCACAAACTTGGTGATTTAAACAACATAAGTGTATTATCTTGCAGTTGCATAAGTCAGAAGTCTGACACTGCACTCAATGGACTGAAATCAGGGTCAGCAGGTATTTGTTCTTTTCCGGAGGCTCTAGGAAAGAATCTGTTCCCTTGCCTTTTCCAGTTTCTAGGGGTTACCTCATTCCTTGGTTTCATGACCATCTTCCTCCATCTTCAAAGGCAGCAATGCTGCATCTTTCTGATCATGCTGCTGAGGTCACATCTCCCTCTGACTCTAGTTAGGAGAGGTTCTTAGCTTTTAAGGACCCAAATGATTAGATGGGGTCCACCCAGAAAATCCAGAATAATCTCCCCATTCCAAGGTCCTCAACATAATCACCTCTGCAAAGTGCTTTGTGCACATCATTCACCGCTTCCAGAGATTAGGACATGGACATCTAGCGGGGAGGGAGGGTGGATCCACACTAACATACAATCACTCTATGCCCCTTGTAGGAAACTCAAGGTATTCAACCCTGAGTGCCAAGGGAAAAAATAGTTTTCTCCTTAAAAAACTGATACCTCATTTCCTTATAAACAAAATTAACCATGAAATTGATCACTTTCCCCTTTTCACCTTAGCTTCCAGGAAGACAAGAACCAAATTTACAACTCAACTTTAATAATTTTGTCAAGCGCTACAGCTTGCCTATCAGTGTTACAGTTTTCTTCTGTCCTCTCTCTTCTGTTTTCTCTCATTTCTATGAAATGAAATTTCAATGAAACCTTTTTTCATTGTATTGATGGTGTGATTTTTAAGCTGCTTCAGATATTTTGACTTGCTATTTCCTCTGCCTATAAGTCTCTGCCCCAATACCTCCACAAGGCTGGGTCCTTTTCATCATTTCTATCTCAGCTCACATGCCATATCCTCAGAGAAGCCTTCCTTCCCTGATACCCCTATCAAACATAGTCTATCACATCGCTTTACTTTGTTGTCACAGAGCACCGAATACCATCTAAGACAATCTAATTTACCTTCTTTCTTTCCTCAGGGGAAGTTAAGCTCCAAGACAGCAGGAACCCAGCCTCTTTGTTTACTGCTTGCTCCCAGTACCTGAGACAGTGGCTGGCAATTAGTAGCTATTTAATAAAAAGCATGTTGTTAGTAAATGAAAGAGTGAATGGAATAAAGGAAGAAAGAGCAGGAAGAAGGAAGGCAGAGACTTTGTAGAATATGGTAACATATAAATGGATAGATAAACAGGTAGATAGACTGAAAAATAGACAAATATTAATTTCTTATGTGCAAATGTCACTAATAATTATAGGGAAGAATCAGAGAAACCACACAAAGAAGTAACACATAACTTTCTAAAATATATACATAGAGGTACTAGGCTTTCTTGAGGAACCCTTTGCCTTAGACAAAAAAAAAAAAAAAAAGAAATTTTTTTGAGTTTTCAAGTGGCTCAAGGCAGCTACATTAAATATTATGGTTAGTTACCATAGCGGAAGTCATCAGTTTACAGTGAGGTAATGGATTGTAACACCATGGCCACTAACACGACAAACTCTTGATACTGCCAAGGGAACACAACCTATGCCAGGGGTCATTACTACACAATAATTTGCTCTCACCGTATTCCTGTAATTATTAATGTCACCACTGGCAACAAGTATTATATACAGTTTACTTAAACACTCTATGGTAACATCATTGTTACAATGCAATATCAAATTACTTAACATTTAAGGGAGATCAGAATTGAAGTTTGTCGATGTAACAAAACATAGAAGCAATTAATACAGTTTGTTCCAGGGTTTGTTGACCCTGTTAGTAAAAATATCAAAACCCTAGAGGGAAGAGATGGACTTCAGTTTTCTTAAATCAAGAAACAGTTGATTTACACACAAATTTCAATTTATCTCTATTATTCATAAGACTTTTAAAAGACTATATCACAAAAAGATCATCCCATAATTTTTCTGTTCTATAATATAAATTAAGAGATGTTTAAATCATTATGTGTTATATTGTGCTCAGTCGTGTCCAACTTTCTGCAGCCACATGAACTGTAGCCCCCCAGGTGCCTCCGTCCATGGAAGTATCCAGGCAAGAATACTGGAATGGGTTGCCATTTCCTACTCTATATGTATTATATTAAGATTTCTTAAATGGGGAACATGCCTTTTAAAAGTGTATAATATAAAATGTAACTTTATCTTATGATATCTCTTTGATTATTGGTAGGCTCTACCAATTTACACAAAGTCTTTCCACTTTTCTCCCACCTTGACAAAAGTAAAACTGTACCTTATCCCCACAACGTGAAATAAACATTTAGCAATTAACTCAATTTTTCTGATCAACTGTGGATGTCTGACCCAGGCTCCTTGTCAGATAAAATTAATTAGATTTCAGGTTAGTATACACCCAAACTAAATTAATAGTTCACAGATTAGAAGATTTTATATTGTTTAGATGGAAATCTCCCCAAATTGATCTATAA